GCTCTTCCCAATGATTTTCCATGGAAGAAGCTCTGGTTGTGCTCTGGGAATGTTGGCTCAGGGATCCGGCTCTTCCCGGTGTTTTTCCAGGCCCCTGATCTCCTACATCCGCAAGTTCTACTACTACGACCCGCAGGAGGAGCAGTACCTGTCCCTCAAGGAGGCCCAGCTCATCTCCCGACACAGGCAGGAGCCGGAATCCTCCACGTAGCGGAGCCGCCCCGGCACTGACGGTGCGGGAATGGTTGGGAATGGTCAGGAATGGTGGGGGAATGGTTGGGAATGGGCAGGAATGGTTGGGAATGGTCAGGAATGGTTGGGAATGGTGTGGGAATGGGCGGGAATGATGTGGGAATGGTTGGGAATGGTCAGGAATGGTCGGGAATGGTTAGGAATGGTGTGGGAATGGTCAGGAATGGTCGGGAATGGTCAGGAATGGGCAGGAATGGGTGGGAATGGGCGGGAATGATGTGGGAATGGTCGGGAATGGTTGGGAATGGTCGGGAATGGTTGGGAATGGTGTGGGAATGGGCGGGAATGATGTGGGAATGGGCAGGAATGGTGCGGGAATGGTGCGGGAATGGTTGGGAATGGGCGGGAATGATGTGGGAATGGTCGGGAATGGTCAGGAATGGTCAGGAATGGGGGGGAATGGTCAGGAATGGTTGGGTATGGTCAGGAATGGTTGGGAATGGTCAGGAATGGTTGGGAATGGTCAGGAATGGTTGGGAATGGTGTGGGAATGGGCGGGAATGATGTGGGAATGGTTGGGAGTGGTCAGGAATGGGTGGGAATGGTCAGGAATGGTTGGGAATGGTGTGGGTGTGGGAATGGGCGGGAATGATGTGGGAATGGTTGGGAGTGGTCAGGAATGGGTGGGAATGGTGTGGGATGGTCAGGAATTATCTGGGAATGGTTTGGAATGGTCCAGGATGGTCTGGGAATGGTCCAGGATGGTTTGGGAATGGTCAGGAATGGTCTGGAGTGGTCTGGGATGGGTTGGGGATGGTCGGGAATGGTCCAGGATGGTCTGGGAATGGTCTGGAGTGGCCTGGGATGGTCAGGAGTGTTCTGGGAATGGTTTGGAATGCTCAGGGATGATCGGGAATGGTCGGGAATGGTGCCTCATCCCAGGATCAATCCCGTGTCCTGCTGTTCCCCCTGGAGGAGCCGTGGCTGCTCACTCCGGGCTCTTCCATCATTCCCAGCTTTTCTTTGGGAAAGGGAACAACAGGATTGCTTGGCCTTGTACCATTCCCGGTTTTCCTTGGGAGGGGGAGCAGGATTTCCTGGTGTTCCACCATTCCCAGTTTTCCTTGGGAAGGAGATCAAGGCTTCCTGGTCTTTTTCCCTTGGGAATGGGAGCAGGGTTCCTGCCCTTTTACCATTTCCAAACTTTCTCTGGAGAGGAGAACAAGGTTTCGTGTTCTACCATTCCCAACTTTCCTTGGGAAAGGGAACAGGATTCCCACCCTTTTACCATTCCCATCTTTCCTCAGGAAAACCCTCCTGCTCCTCCCTCATTCCCATTGCCGCTCTCCTCCAGGCCCCAATCCCGTCTGATCCTGATTCCCGGTGTTTTTTCCTGGCAGGAATTTGGTTGTTGCCCTCCTGCCTTGCTGGAGAGGAGGCCGAGCTCCTGCTGCTGCTGCTCCTGCTCTTTTCCCTGGAGGAGAGGGCCCAGCATTCCCGGGAAACCC